AATCTTGGCATATTTTAGGGTCCAGATATATCGTATAATGCTATCATTGGCTGGATTCTTACATTGCATTAAGTCACATAGTTGTTGGCTTGGTTTTGACTTTGCATGTTACAGTTACTGTATTTAAGGTTAACTACATCATGGCTTAGCACATTATGTGAATCTAGTCATTCAGTTCATTTTTTAAATATATTTTTTCGTATATATACACATTCAATATACACATCAATACACAATTGTATGTTAATATATGCAGTTGTTATTAGTTTACAACTCAAAAAGTGCAGATAGACATAAGAAACAATTGCTTAAAGTGCATCCATAAATTGCTTTACAATATAGTAAAAATGTCAAATTTTTGTAATGTGCATTTTTAAAAATTGCAAATGTACATAGAAACAGGAGAAGGCAACAAACTTACATTGGAAAAATGAAAAGTGCAATAAAATTAGAATTGACAAATATTTTCATTTGTAGATACTATCAGAAAATGTACATACTGATGGGAATTTATCAGCCTTTTCATCTCATAGTATGCTCTAAACTTTATTGTACTCCCTGCAGCCTTTTCAGTTCATCAAATACCATTTACTACATGTAAAATTATTATAAGAAAGTTTTCATGCCAGAACATACAAGAAGCCTTTGTAGGATCATAATTCTTTTGTGACTGAAGAGTTGTTAACAATCTCCTAAATTATTTCCCTGATTTTCCCCCCTGTTTATTCCTTTGCAGCTTGATAGCTTATGCTTGCATTTGCTGCCCATTAGGATCACAACAGTTTATATGATTCCTTTTTGAATCGTGGATAGTTCTAAGTTTTGACTCCAAACAATATCAACAACAGAGGGCAAAGGGGAATATGGCAAGCTGCCCAGGAAAATGCAAGCTGAGTACACTTGGGAATTGCACACAAAGACAATAAGCCTTCAAGCCAGTCTTCATTAAATAGTTTTATATGCATTGGAGATGAATTATAGTTTAATATATGCCACATGGAGACTTATGAATGTTAACAGGACTTTTACATAAATCATAGATTTATGCAATGTCTACATTCAGATTATCATGTGCAACCCTGTTCCTCTCCCCCCCCCCAAAAAAAATAAAATAAAGCTACAATGGCTAATGAGTGGGAACACTGTGATTATGAAGAACTAGTAATGTATAATTTTTAGAACACATTTATAGGTTGAACTGTGAAAAAGAAATTCTATTATCTCTTAGGTCTACTCTATAGAACTTGTGGTCATCCATGGAACTGAATGCCAGATTTCTCAGTTTCTTAACATTGCTTCACAGATAATACTTGCTGTAACAAATTGTAACAAACTACTGCACTAGCTTTTATAGTCCTCTTTGAAATAATGAGTACACTCACAATACATTGACCAATTAGTGATTATTGGTTATAGTAGCAATTTAATATAAGGAAACCTATGTTTAAAAGCACAACACAGTAAAGTTATTTGTAGAAAAGAACAGTTAGGATAGCTGAATATTTCATTTATTGGATTTTTTTTAAAGTTTTTCTAAAATTAGCAAATTTGTGTTTTTTTAAAAAAAAGTTGCCCTAATATTCTCTTAGCCATTAATTTGCACATTTGAGATTAGTAATCCTCCACATTTTGTTGATAGAGAATAACCATTCCATTTATGGACCAAGAAATATGTTATATCCATTAATAAATTATGAGAAACCAGTTTTTAGAGCAAATTCTAAATTAAATTTTGGAACGAGAAAGGGCAAATTGCTATCAACAAAACTACGCAAACACATACATGATCACATCCAGAATCAATTTTGACTTGGAAATTTAAAAGAAAAATCCCTCCAAAAATATATATTCTTATGTATAAGTGATTCTGCTATCTGTTTGGCATTTTCCATACACATTTTGAACTTTGATAAAAGAAAGGAAAGCAGATTCTAGTTTGAAATTAAAGACTAATGGTCATTAATACAGAAAGATGGGATAAAACTTCCTGATAGAATATTTTTGGTAAAAATGTTTTTAATAAAGAGAGTTTAGAATTCAATGTTTTTTAAATATCCTATCTTGTTGTACAACACCATCGTGGCAGGATTATCAGATTAAAACTCTTGTAGATTAAAACAAGGGCCATTACATTATGTGCTATGAGCTAATAGAGGATTTTCTTCCAGGGCCATATCAAATGGATACCCCTTCAGAAAATATTTGGGAGAGGCACTAAAAAATATCAAAGTACGGTAGGTATGTTTCTGTAAAATACTAAGATTTTAAAACAATGAAGCAATTTTCCAATGTGACATTCTTGTAGTCAAATGGATTAACTCAAAATTTAATACTATTCTAGGATACAAACAGATTATCACACCTGCAAATTCGCAAATTATCTTAAAAGGTATCTGGATTTAGATTCACAGATCATAATCATAATCTGGTTTAGCTCTTTGAGCCACAATTTAGTGTAGCATGTGAATTTATGTAACCTAAATGCCTGAGATAGTAGAGTTGAATGAAATCAAGAATATTGATTACCCAATTCATTCCATTCCTTTTATGTCATATCCCAAAGGTGCTCTTTCAAGAGGCAACTGAACTTTCTGGTTTTTCTTTGAAGACATTTTGCTTCTCATCCAAGAAACTAAGGAGCTGAAGAAGCTTCTTGGATGAGAAGAGAAATGTCTTCAAAGAAAAACCAGAAAGTCCAGTTGCCTCTTGAAAAAGCACCTTTGGGACAACCATGACCTGTATGACTGAGAATCTCCAGAGACTTTTATGTCATAGTTCACCAAATAATTCATTGATAGATTGGTCTGATACATATGTTGAGGCATAAATATGACTTATTTTTAGTTTTATGTACTATGCAAAACCAGTCACTATTTATTTGTTATTGAATCATGGTTCATCTCTTACCATATTGTGTTGGACTATCATAAACTGGAGTTAAATTATCTTCAAACTGTTTAAGATTATATTAAAACAAATCCCCTTTCCATACTTTCTTCATAGAAGTTCTGAGAAGTAAATAAGAACTGCAGCAAATAAACTGAGAAATAAATATATAAATTACCTAGGTGGATAATAAAAGGAGTGCCAGATCTAGACTACAAGAAAATACTTGAACATCGGAAGAAGCAGGTAGAAATAGAATTATTGAAGTTCAGATCTGAGATACTGAAATATCATCACAAAAGATCCTTTTCTGTTGTGGCTCCTGCCCTCTGGAACATCTTGCCCCCCAACCTCGTCATATTCACTCCTACCCTTTGTTCTCTCTCACTCTTTCCCATCCTGCTTACTTTTATTTTGATTATTTTTTTAATGTTTCATACTGTATATTATACAATGTCTATAAGCCATTAGGGTCACCTTTGACGAGATGGGCGGCATACAAGTTTAATAAATAATTGTAATATGGATCTGGATCTGAAAAGAAAGCATATTCTTATTGTGAGGCTTTTTATCATCTAGCTCTTTTTTTCTTTTTCTTTTGCATTCTCAAATCAGTGTCAACTCCTAGCAATTGCCTGGGCCAGTTTTCTTGGCAAAGTTTTTGGGAAATAGTTTGCCATTGCCTTCTTCCCAGGTCTGAGAGAAAGTCTTCCAGCTGGTTTTGTGCCTAACGTAGGCCTAGAACTCGTACCCTCCCACCAATCTCCTGATATTTTAACCACTACCAAAGCTGGCTCAACCTACTGTACTATATTAAAATACAACATATAAGCATGTGGCACTTTCCATGTATGAAATAAATGCAATATTATAACATCTAATTACTAATATTAAAACTGTTATTTAGATACAACTGTTATTCTGACTTGTATTTTTTGTTCTGGTACAAATTATGAAGACAATCAAAGTTACTACTCCTAGAAAATTTGGGATTTGAACAACTCAACTACTACATAAAAACATATATGTTTCATGTTAAAAAGACAAACAAGTCTTGTTTTAAAATGCCCAACTTACTACATACAGGGCATTTTTGAAGAATATATTTTAATGTTCCACAAAACCATTAAACACAAGACATGGGTGAAGTTGTCAACGCCTGGAATGCATTACGTGACTGTGGTTTTTTCCCCAAATCCCCAAAACTTTAACCTTAGACTGTCTACTGTAGACCTCACCCCATTTCTAAGAGGTCTGTAAGGGGCGGGCATAAGCGCACCAGCTTGCCTATTGTCCCTGTCCTAATGTTTTCTTTTATTCGTATCCTTTTCATGTATTTATAATTATGTTTACACCTGTATCTGTCATAAAATACATGCTTGATGAAATAAATAAAAATAAAAAACGGCACATAATAAACATTAGCTCGAGTCAGTGAAAAAAAAAAGCTGAAAAGAAATCAACACACTCCTCATAGTAACAATAAAAAAAGACATTTAAGTAAGAAAAAGATAATGAAATGAGGCAATACAAAATATTAGAGGTAGGTGTGGTGTTGGGTGAACCAAAGCAATTTTGATTTATTCTATAAATCTATACGGAAGCTATATGCAAGGCATAAGCAATCCTCCTGAAAGTAGAATAGGTAAGATTTCCACGTATGCAGTTGAAATGCATAGTTCCTTAAATCAGCACGAAACGCCCATATTTCTTTTAATCCCTATGGAATAAGGATATTATTTGAAGCTCAGGCAGACTCCTTTCAGAGGCCACTTCTGAGTTTGGGGCTCAGATTAGATCGTCTTCCGACCACCCTCCTGATCCAAAATCCTCCAACTCCATTACATAGGAGTCATCATGGTTAAACGGGAGCTGACTTTCAACTAGCCATCGCTAACACAGCGTCCACCCTCCATGACAAGACATGCTGTTTGTGACCAAAAGGAAAAAAAAAGAGCGAAACGTTTCTTTAAGTAACAAAAAAAAAAACCAGCAAACACGGCAGTCCCCCCCCCCCCCCCAATTTAGTATTCAAACTTAATTGACGGCGGACGCTCAGCTCCCACTTGCGGGTGGGGCATTTCCCCAACCGGGCGCTGTGCCGCAAGGCACGACGGGTAGTGTTCCTTGGTTACCGTTGCTAGGGCCGGCCTTGCGCTCGCTCGCTTGTTTCTTGACCACGAAGAACTTGATTCGCGGAGATGGTGAAGCAGACGATCCAGATTTATGGCCGAGTGAAACCTTTGGGCAAGAGGCAGACCCCCGGGGTAGGTAAAGCACAGAACCCATCAGGCTGGGCCGGACACAGTGTTGGGCAGAAAACAGTGGGTGACAACCCAGGCCAGGCCAGAAGCTCCGAAATATTGTCCCAAAAGTGCTTTAAAAGCCATGACCAGGATGAGTGAGAATCTCCACTGACACTCCAAAATATTGAAAAAACAGAGAGACTAGGCGGGGAGCAGAGCAGGGTTCATTAAGCTTGCCATATTTAAGATGTGTGGACTACATCGGCCAGAATTTTCCAACCAGCATGGCCTAAGATGAAATCTACAGGTCAAAATGTCCAAGGTTGAGAAATACAGCATTTGAGTAGAGTGCGCCTTGCCTGAAGGTTGATGGATCAGATGAGGGAAAGCTTTTTCTGGAGGGTGGAGTGGAGAAGGTAAATAAGGACCCAACACAGGACTTGGTGTAGCTCTTCTCCATGAAGATGAGGATTCGGCTGCTTTGGAAAAACCAAAGGGCTAAATTTGAAACTGGGCTGCAGGCAAGCTAAAATATCCATGTTAATTTAATTATTTTTTTTAATCCCTCTTTCTACTCTGGTGAGCTCTCAGGGAGGCTAACAACAGGAACCAACTCTACAAATAATAGTAATTTAAAAAAAAACAGCTAAAACTGACAATAGAGTTAAGTGCAACAATCATTTCCCAACTGAAAGCAAAGTGAAAGAGGTTATTTATTAGAAATTGTCTAAATGTTGAGAGGCCAAACACGCACTCCGATGAACCGTTTTCATCTTGGTATTCTAAAACTCGAATCTCTTAATAGGAGGGGGAAAAAAGTTTTTATTGCTGCCTATTCAAATGGTAGCCCGGGAGAAGATTGCTAAATGCAATCATATATTGCTGCTGTTTTTTTTTAATCAGTAAAGAACTTTAATAAAGGGTTGTAAAGGATTTCATTAAATAAGATCCTAATAATTATAACAAAGCATGTTTGGAGATGAGGCTTTCGGTATTTAGTCTTTCAGTTTATTTGTAAAATGATAGGAGGAAATAACATCTCCATATTTATAATTATTCCATCTTTTCCACTAGTTTTATTATTGTTTATTACCTGAAAAGGAGGGGGGACACAGGACTTAAGTGCATAACAAGTACTGAAGCTATCAAATTAGAAATACTTTAAAGAGGTATAGATTCTGTACTCATTTTGCTGCAGTGAACCTATGGCTGGGATTCTGAAGTGTGATGAAATGGAATTATTTTGCTTGCCATAACTTCGATAGGTAGGCAGCTTTGTTATTTAACTTTTCTTCACTCTTACATTCAAAATTGCTACTTAAACTAAATTGAATCTAAATAAAATAAAAGTTGGAATCTTATTCATACTTAACTCAAAACTATATACTACTGAAATGCAGTGATTACTTCTAGCAAATGTCAGATTAGCTATTTTACTGTAAATTATATGGATTAGTATGCATTTAACTCATTCCCATATTTTAGGCATTATTTTACCTAGAGTTAGATCTCTTGTACACCTGTTACAAGAATTGCTTGCATATCTATTCCTATTAAAAATTATACTGTCTAAACATAAGGCTAAATCATGGAATGTTTACATTAATTAATAGAAATATTTTCAAAAGGTTACATGTATTTTGTAGATATATTCAATTGATGAAATTGAGACATCAGCATTTGGTCTGGAGATTATTGTACCACGTGATTTGTCGGATGGATTTGTCAATAACAAACGAGAAAGCTATAAATTTAAGTAAGTTTAATACTTTGGTTGTTTGCACATTATTATAAAATGTTTAATCATTTTATCTTATAGTTCCAACTTTTTGTTTTATTTATTTATTAAATTTATTTGCCACCCACTCATTTCAAAATGACTCTTACTGTTTTCATTTATGAATGTTTAAAATATTGTTTTACATTTCTAGAACCTTCAAATGTTATGTAGTTTAAATTTCACTCTAAGTACAAAGTTGATATCCAACCAGACCATTTTACATAAAAAGTTAGTGAATATTACATATTTATATTGTTTATAACAGGAAAATCAATTAATTCACATTTCTACTTCTGAATGAATAAAATAGAACAAAATCACTACAAGTAGTCCTCAATTTATACCTGGACTCCAAAAGTAGGGCTTATGACCCAGATTTGAAGTTCCAATGTCCATCCCATACATTTTCCTGGGCATGCAAACCATTTGGGCAATGGTTTGCATGCACAGCTGTTTGCAGCCTCCCCACCCCCCACCCCCCAGTCACTTGACTGCAATTTACATTGTTTTTACTGAAAGCCAATGTTTATGGGTTTCTGGCAAAAACCACGCCATAGCAAACAATGGGTTTGCTTAATAACTGTAGCATTTGCTTTATGTCTATGGTGTTCGCTTAATAACCAATGCAAAAAAGGCCATAAAATTGGACATGGTCACATGCTGATATGCTTTATATAACTTACAACTGAAATTATGGACTCCGTTTCAGTTGTAAATCAAGGATCACCTGTAAACAGTCTGCTCAGTAATGTGGTCTAGCCTCCTGTCAGAAATGGACTGTTTTGTCAATTTTGATACAAATCACAGGGGATTCATCTCCTGTGACCAACTGAAAGCCATTTTTTTCTTTCATCAATCCATAGTAGCCCTTCAGATATTTGTTAATGGCTATCATCCTACTTGATTTTTCTGAAGACTACTTTCTTCAAATGTTCAATTCCTTTAATTTTTTTTCTTATAGGACATGCTTCTTATTATGTTGACTTCCTATAAATACATTCCAAATAGTGCTACATACCCAACAACAAACTTCTAACATCTTTCTTAATAGACATCATAAAGTTCTTTTATAAGGTTACTGTTACAGCATTTTAAAACTTTTTAAAGTAACTACATTCAGATTGTTCTTATTTTGTCTTCCAATTTAGTTTCAATATTATTATCCCTGTGATGATGATGATGAAGCAACATTATGGTGCTTATATCTTTGACAAAACAGAAAAGATTGTGAAAAGCTATCTTTTAATGTCCAATCCAATGTACCTTTATTGGAAAATAAACTTGATGGATTTGGATATAAAATGTGTTTATTTGTAGCTCACTTTTTACATCTAACAGCGGTATGGAAATTACTGTTGGAACATATTTTTTTTATTTATCACGCTGCTTTTCTTCCCAGAATTCTCTTGGAGAGGGTGTGAAGTTCTTTGATGTCCAAAGACTGGAGACACCACAGCATAACAAATCTGTACAAAATATTTGATTGCCTTAATCACCTTCCCCAACAACAGGCTATTTATTATTCTCTAGGTCAACTCCACCCTTTTGGGTTTTGAAAGGTGTTGTTGCCACATAAGTATGTCTGTAATAGTCCTTTAATACTTATTCTTTTATTATACTTAATTCATATTAAAGTCTCAAATTCTTTACAAAATAACATACAGTTTTTGCCTTTTTCCAAACATTTTTGTACTAGTTGGGATGAAGTGCTGTTTCAGTGTGGTTGTTCCTTTTCTAGTTGCTACTGGGCTCCCAGCAAAACTCAGGCAGGAATCCCACCAAGATAAATCTTTTTGCCTTCCTATAATAGTTGCCAATCTTTGCTTCCCAGCATTCACCTTTCCTGCTACACACACCCCTCTTCCACTCTGCCTTAACATTTGCTTTTGTAAGCTCAAAAGACTGGGTGGGGCGAGGCTGCCTCTGGATGTCAATGTGTATGTGAAAATACCAGGGTGTGGCACAGTTAGCCAGGCAGTACAATTCTGAGGGAATGGGGAATGGGTGAATGCTGAGGAAAGGTTGTTGGGGGGGAGCTTTCTGCATGGGTACAACTACTTTTGAAAAGAGTAGACAATCCCAATTTCACTCCCTCACAGAGGAAGAGGAGGTAGAAAACATTCAGAGAAAATTTAGGGAGGTAAGTCATGTTTCACTGAACAAGCAGAAGTCTGTTTTGTTAATATTAAATACTGATTTTTAAAGTATGATGCATCAATATTAGTAGCTTAGAAATGAACTTCTAACCAGCTAGTGCATAACATTTTATATGTATGTATGCATGTATGTATATATTTATTTATTTATTTTGCCCATAAAAATATGGATGACCTATAATTCCCTAATAGGTAATTGGGATGAAACAGAAGTACATTACTTTTACACACCCACATACCCACACACACCAGTGAATTATAATAACACTAAACAGAAGGTCATGATCAAAAACAATCAAAATCTACTAATATTTGGAATCATAACCCAGCTTTCCTGGCTTGAAAAAAGTAATAGGTTTTCAGCAGTTTTCTGAAGACTAGCAGGACCCATAGCATACCAGGGGAGGGGGGGAGATTAAATTTCAAAGGAGGAGGTGCTTGACCTAAAACACATAGTTCCATGGCCTTGAATATGGCAATTTCTAATTGAAGGAAGGCAATTTCTAATTGAACGCCCCGCACATGGGTGTTCCTGCATAGCCCACATATCTCACAGTGATACTTGTATATTCAGATTTCTTCCCCTTCATATCCTCCTCCTCCCCCATTTTACTACTATTGTCAGTGAAAATTGAATTATTTTCATTTGGTTCTATGGCAGGAAAAAGAGATATATGTCTCATTCTTTCCTACTAGAAAAGAAAATAATTTTTTTTCATTTGTTTTACATGGAAGGAAAAAGGTTCTGTGAACATCATATTTTAATATATATATAAAATTTTAATATAAGCATCATCATTTATTCCTCTTTCCCTCTTCTCGCTCACCTTCCCAACTAAATAAAAAATTCTTTTTCAGCACTTTTAATGAAGTGGAGCAGGAGCTACAGGTGCCTAGTGATTAAATAAAATCAGTTAGTCTTTAATGTAGCACATAACTCTTTGGTCCACTGTAGTGGATCAACAGAATGGTTTTAAGTCATTTGCACTTGAACAAAATAGGTTCTTTTAATGGTGGGCGAGCAGAGACAGAGTTAAACATGTATTAAAAAGAAGTGTTTATAGAGATGCTAAAACATCAATAATTTATTGATGTTAGATTATGGAAATAGGGTACAAGACTTATAAAGTATTTGACTTACTGTTAAAGTAAGTTTCTTGATAATTGCTTTTCTCTTCCAGAGAAGAAAACTGAAAATAGTTTGCACTGTTTATATATTCTGTTTTATTTTAGTGCTTCTTAAACATGCTCATGTGTGGGCCTTTGGAAATGTTGATCCCCATGACAGTAGTAAAGTACAGTTTGCTTTTTCTAAGCAGTAACATTTTATCACAATATTTTATTGTACACATTTTGTAAGCAGTAGTGTTTAAAGTCCTTTGTGGATTCAGTAGCACAATAACATAGTGTGGAAAAAGCTACGGGAGAAAATTTTCAGGATTATGTAAAGCAATGATGTAAACAGTAAACACTGATTTACTTTTAAATTAGAAAAGGAAATAAATCAAGTATTGTTTTAAGATTTTGCATGACCAATTATTTATAATTTGCAGATTTCAGAAAGTATTTGATCAGGAATCAAAACAAGATGACATTTTTGAAACTATTGCCAAGCCAGTTGCAGAATGGTAAGTTTGATTCTTTTTAATGATCCATTCATCTTTTTAATCAATAAAACCAGTTTGTGATAATGAACATTGTTTTTTTTTTAATTGGATGATAGAGTTCATTGAATAGTTTTTCTTGTTCCTTTTTTTGGTAAATATTTGATAGCAAAGGGCGGATGAGATTCAAAATGATATGCATTTTGTTAAAAAAAAATAGCCTGATAGAGTCTAAATTGAATAAAGCAAGATTCACAAGTGAAACAAACCACAATATAGTATAGTATATTGTAGTACATGAGAGTATGTACATGAGAGCCAGTTTGGTGTAGTAGAGACTGTGCACAAAGCTGGCTGGGAAATTTTGGGCCAGTCACTCTCTCAGCTCTAGGAAGAAGCAAAGTTAAACTTCTGAAAATATTGCTAAGAAATCTACTTGTATTTGTCCAGACAGTTATCAAGAGTCAAGATTGACTTCAAAAAAGTATGGGTTAGTGTTGTAACTTCCGTATGCAAAAAAAGTTTTTGAAAATATTAGGTTTATATATTGGAAATGTAAAAAAAGATAAATTCACATTTGCAAATCACATTTACAATTAAAGGGAAATGTGTCTTCACACAATGTGCAATTAATGGAAAGTAAGTATATCAATCCATTATGCTTACTTCTCATTTTCAGACAATATTCTCTTGAATACAGATTTTGAGATAAAAAAAAGAAAGTATGTTTAATTTACAGAGTTTGTAGCTAATTTTGATCAAATATAAGATTACGTACAAGATGGACTTTGGTCTGTTGATATACATAATTTCTTATAATATTTTAAAATGTCTTTTTTGTACTTTGATAAGCCTTTATAGGTTTATATGGCACATCCTGGGCATTGTTTGATCCAGGATGGAACAACTGGTGCATCTTGCAGACCTTTGAACTTTTCTGTAAGGTCTCCATCTTTTTTCTTTCACTTTTCCTACAGCCTATTTTCTCAAATTTTTAGTCTTTGGATTTGCAGTTTTGATTATAGCTGTCATCTCTTTCCATATTGCCATTCGTATAGTATGTATGGTAGACCTCAACTTACAACAGTTCATTTAGTGGCAGTGGCACTGTTCAAAGTTACAGTGGCACTGAAAAATAATCAGGTGTTCTAGTACATTCATTAGCTTTAATATGCTCTTTTTTTGGCACAATCTAACTGCATATAACAGGATACAGCCAGGACTTGCTATAGTCAATGAAATAAAGATTAAACTTCTTATATTCTTTTGTTCAATCCATTCTCTATCTTATAAGAACATCAGTTCGAGGTTCACCCTATTTTTATTTTTCAGTGTGGCTAATTAGATGTCTCTCTGCTGCTTATGGACAGGAGATAGAGACATACTTCTCTCCTGCCATTGTTCATCTACAACTCATTTGGAGGCATGCTGTTCTCAAATCTGCACTAATACTGAGTCTTCAAACCTGTTAATCTAACATTTAAACTGCTTAAATGAGTTTATGGCTTGCTACCTGGTAGTTGCTCTTGAGAGCACCTTGAGGAAACATAAAAAAGCAGTATAAAGTATAAATAGGCACATTAATTATAACTTTTTTGATGACGTAAGGATTGTCTATATATGCTCCTCCACCTCTTTGTTTATCCAAATATCTGAGGTAATTTTTTCATACAAAGATAGAGCCTTTTTGTTCCAGAACATCTTTGCTTGATTTGAGTACGCTGCAGATGTGTGGACTTCAAGTCTCAGACTCAGCAATGGTCATTTTGCCACAGAATTCTGAGAATTTCAATTCATAAAACTAGAAGATGCCCAAATTAGGGAAAGCAATCTAAACACATTATTCTTCTCAGTCTAGGAAGTAAAAAAATGACAGAAACTATTCTGATGAATTTATATTTAGCATAATTTAATTAAGAATTATAGAGATTGCATTTCAAATAACACTGATACCATTAGGATAGAACTAAAATGAATTTTATGACTTTTGCTTTTTATATCAACAGATAACAATTCAAAGACCATGGCCTTCTCTGAAGAGCTTTGAATGCCTAGAGACAGAAATCCCATTTCATTCTATGACATTTGGATACTTTCTATTCTTATGATATATATTTTGCAAATGAAGGAGATAGAAATCACTGGAATATGCTTCTGATAGTGTTTTGTATAGCACAATCGTTTGAAAGTGCACTTCTCTGCCCAATCTTTTTATCCTATGCAAATTACATGTTTCTTGAAACATAAGCAATTTTTATTGCAATAAGAAGTCAAGCTAGTTGTGGATATGGAGAGCATTTTCTTCTGTTTTCCTGTGGGTTGAGTAAAGCATATTCAGAACAAAGCTGTTTTGGGCTCAGTAAGAATCATATAAATGGATAGCTCAAATACCATTTGAAATCATTTTAATTTTTCAGTTAAATTCTTTATTTTATTCAGTGTTCATATTGAGGGATCCTTGGTGCTTTCTGAGCTTGGTTGTTTTCTTGCAAACATTTCATTACCCAAGCTAGGTCTAGCACTGATGATTTTACCTAGTTTGGGTAATGAAATGTCTGCAAGCTCAAAAAGCAACAAGGACCCCTCATTTCAACCCTGAGCTATAAATATTCTCCTTTATTAGTATTCATATTTGAAAATGCAAGGATCGTCTTATATTTGATTCTTCCAAATATGATTTTTCACTCTCTTTGGAGATGCAGTAAACATGAGTGATAGTTCAGAAAGAACACATACTTTATAAGAACAATGTTGCAACAGCTAGTCCATACTTCTGAAGTTACATTACTTGTTTCCAAATTTCTGTTCTTTTTTAAATAAAATTGCAGGATGTGTTCACTTGTTAGTAATTTCAGTTTTATTGCAACATATTTTGTTATCTCAACAATGCTTTGTAAGTGCTATTTTAAAATAACATTGCATACTCATATAATTTCAAAATATGTTATTTACAATGCCTTCATATTGTAGTGATGTTTGCTAATAATACATTTTGGCTGTTTTTATTTATATTCAAATATGCCAAAATTCCTCGTTAAAATTAATTGTTGCTATTTTGGTATTGTGTAGTGCCTCGTGAGGGTTTTTAAGATTACAAAAACAGATTCATTATTAATTTGGCAGCTCATAACTGAACATATTCCTGAAGATAAAAAAGTATCAGTAAGGGAAGGAGGAGCTTTGCTGATCTATTTCCAGGAAAATGACAAAGCAGAAATGTCAGTGAAGTTTCTTAGTAGCATTCCAAAGCTATTGTATGATTACATGGAAAGTAAATTACAGCAAAATAAATCCACAGCAATAGCAGAACAATAAAAGAAGGAACATATATGACATTAATTATAGATTTACATTGCTGGCATAATGTGTTCATTTTTCCCCTTTTTGTATTTCTTTCAACTTTTTTCTCTGTTGTTGTAATATATAGTTTGTTTTAATGTTTAAAGTTGCAATTTACTCTGGTTGGGAGTTAAATCCCACTGTTTCTGTTTAGAATTTCTGAGTTAGTTATTTCTCACTACCATGTTTCTCCAAAAAGAAGGCCGGGTCTTATTTTCTTTTGACCACACAAAAAACGGTTAGGCCTTCTTTTTGGAGGGTTCTAATTATTGGCCTATTTTTAATTTACTGCCTATTTTAGACCACTTAAATTTTACTAGCCACATTTAAAAGGGTTCACTAGATACCAAAAATAGCAATAGCAATAGCATTTAAACTTATATACCGCTTCACAAGCGGTATACAGAGTCAGCATATTGTCCCCAACAATCTGAGTCCTCATTTTACCAACAGCCAGCAGTCAGCAGAAGTAGCCTACAGTACTGCATTCTAACCACTGCACCACCACAGCTCTATCCTTTCTCCTGAGACATTGTAGGCTTTGTCCAGTGTTATAGTTCTACATTGTTTTTCAATGTGCTTTTGAAAAAGTTGACCATCAATTTCTACTTTAGTATTAGTAAATTAGTAAATTGTTACATTCTCCAAACTCAGATCCAAGGATCAGAAGTGGGTTTTGTCACATGAACTCGACCAATCACAACTCACTGAGATGTCAAATACATATTTTTATATCTTTGAAACAGAACTTAAGCATTTTGTTCAGTGAGGAAAATGTAGTTGCATGTGATTTTCTCCACTTTTATAGTGTTTTTTTTTTTTTATTTGATTTATATGCCGCCCTTCTCCGGAGACTCAGGGCGGCTTACAATGTGCTCAGCAATAGCCTTCATCCTTTTGTATATTTATACAAAGTCAGTTTATTGCCCCCACAACTGGGTCCTCAATTTACCTACCTTAGAAAGGATGGAAGGCTGAGTCAACCTTGAGCCTTGGCGAGATTCGAACCTGCAGTAATTGCAGGCAGCTGGTCTTAATAACCAGCTTAATAACAGGGTGCCTTAGACCACTGTACTACCAAGGCTCTGTTATTGTGGGGTAAAATTATATGTATTATTGGTGCTCATTGGAATTACCCAATAACCAAAACTAAAATAAAAACTTGTATAAAAGTATGATTTTATATTTTGATTTATAAATTTAGTGCAGCAAATTATGGATGACAAAGGCATAATCCCACTGTATTTATATTTCTGGGATTTTTTGGGTGGTGTGTGTGTGTGTTACTAATCTAATTGCTATTTAGTGGACTAATATTGCTATTCCTTTGAAAGTCCTAAGAATATTGTTCTTAAAATGGAGATATATCTATCTGTATATCTATCTATCTATCTATCTGTATATCTATCGAAATAGAAATGAAGCAGAACATGATGTATCAGTTTTTGCCAATCCAATGATTTATTTATTGTAGACATTACAGTACCTTCAAAGCAGGGATGAAATGCTCCCGGTTCGGATCAGAATGCCTGATCCGGTAGTGATGGCAGCAGGTGGTTCAGAGAAGCGGTAGCAAAAATCCCTGCCCCCCCCCCATGCCCAGCTGAGCCGCACGATCATCAGGCTTTTTTTTTTTACTTTTAAAAACATTTTTTCTACAACCTCTTTGGCTGAAGAGGTTGCAG